GTTGACGTTCTGCCCGCCGGGGCCGGCGCTGCGGGCGAACGAGAATTGGAGCTCGCTCCGCGGGATCGCGAGCCGGTCGTTGATCACCAGATCAGTTTGCACGAATCGATGGGGGACGGTGTGGGGGCGGCGGCGTCTCGAGGGGCGACCTCGACGGCGGCGATCTCGTCCGCGCCGAACGCGACGAACGCCTCGCGCGACTGCCGCAACAGCCGATCATAGTCGGCTTCATCGAACGCGGGGCCCAAAAGCTTCACATCGAAGAAGCCCGCGTAACCGGCCTCGGCGAGCGTCTGGACGATCCCCGCCAGCGGAGCGGCGCCCTCGCCGAGGGCCGCACGGCTGTGATCGACGCTGTGCGGCGTCTGGACATCGCCGAGATGCACGACCGCCAAGTAGCCGGCAAGTTCGCGCAGAATCGGCCAAGCCTCTTCCGCGAGCGGGAAGTGGTAGGTGTCCAGTGCGAGCCGTAGCGCGGGCGTGTCGTACTCGCGGACCAGTTCGAGGGCGTCCGGCAGGCTCGTGACGATCGTCCAGTCGTCGGCACAGGCTGGGTGCATCGGCTCGATCGCCAGTGGGACGCCCGCCTCTTCGGCGAACGGCAGCAGCCGGTCGAGGGCGGCCCGCAACAGGCGGTTGGCGTGGCGGCTCGTGTGGCCGTTGCGGCCGCCGCTGTAGATGGTCAGGCAACCGGCCCCGAGCGCCCCGCAGAGGGCCAAGGTGTCCCGGGCGGCGGCGAGATTCTCGCGGGAGGTCACGGCGTCGGCGCCCGTGAAACCGCCCTCCCAAGAAACGTTCGAGACGGCCAGCCCGCTGTCAGAGATGAGCTCGGCGGCCCGCTCCTCGCCGAAGTCGCGGAGCTTGCGGACCCAGACCGCAATCCCGTCGTAGCCGGCATGGCGGCAGTGGTGAAGGTCTTCCTCGAACGACCACCGGTAGGTGGTCAACTGGTTCATGGACAACCTCGCCATAGCCGCTCCGTAGCCGTGGGTGTCGATGCCGTCGCCGTGCGGCGAGTCGTGAGGGGAGGGAGTATGGCCGAAGTCGGCGATTTAAGTAAACCTTGCTAGCGTCAAGGTTTTTGGCGACTTGTGACCGGGGTCCAGAGCGGACGCGGCGGCCCGAGTGGAAGTTCCTTCCCAGTATGTTGCTTTACCCGGGGCCGAAGGTGGGCATAATCGCGATTGGAACGAGAAGCCCCTCGCGGGGGGCGCCTGGAACGGCTTGCCGAGCGCGTCCCGCCCCGCCCCGCCCCAAAACCTATGCCTACTACCGTCCTGCTGGCGGACGACCACCCGGCGCTGCGCGCCGGGTTGCGCGCCTGGTTCGCCGACTCGCCGATCGAAATCGTCGGCGAGGCCGAGAATGGCGCGCAAGCGCAACAGCTCGTTGAAGAGCTGCGGCCTCAAGTGCTGCTCCTCGAGGTGCTGCTGCCCGGTGTCGATGGTTTGCAGTGCCTCGCCAAGTTACGTGACGCGGGGATCGAGACCCCGGTCCTGTACTACACCGCCCACACGAATCCAACGTACGCGGCCAGGGCCTCCGCCCTCGGCGCCGCCGGGTTCTTGCCGAAGTCGACGAGCCGCGAGGAGCTCACGGCCGCGATCACGACGATCGCCTCGGGCGGCACGAGTTGGCCCAGCGACCTGGCGCGCCGGCTCAGCGGCCCGGCGGCGACGTCGCAGTCGCTCAACGGCGTGGCCTCTCCGCTCACGGCCCGCGAGGACGAGGTGCTCAAGCAGCTCGCCTTCGGCCTCAGCAACAAAGAGATCGCGCAGGCGCTAGGGATCAGCTATGAGACGGTCAAGGAGCACGTCCAGCACATCTTGCGGAAGCTGAACGTCGCCGACCGCACCCAAGCCGCTGTTTGGGCGGTGCGGCAGGGCTTGGCTTAGCCGCTACGGCATGTCGCTAGAACCTCCTATTGGTGGGAGGCTGAGTCTTTCTGCGGGAGGCGTCTCCAGACGCCGATTACGGTCTCATAGCCGAAACGGTATCGTGCGCGTAATCGGCGTCTGGAGACGCCTCCCGCAGACCGCCCTGCCCCTTTAGCCGACGAGCACCGTTGCCCGACACCGTTGCGAGCGTCGAATCGTACCGCGAGCTCTTGCAGCAGACGCGCGAGCTGTACGTCTCCAGCGCTCAGCAGATCGTTCGCGAGCATCCCGAGCTGGTTCCGGCTGGCGGTGATTATGTCGAGCTGCTCGATGACCTGCACCGCGGCCTCGTGATGCGGGTCTACCTGATGGTCTGCAAAGCGGACCACCATTGGACCGCGGGCGAGACCCAGCTTGGCGTCGAACTGGCGGAGCACCTCTGGGGCCGCCGCCTGCGCGGCGCCGAACTCAACGGCATGCTTTCCCATGCCGCCAGGAAGGTCGAAGAGCTGCCGTGGGAGACGCTCGTCCGGCCGTTCGCGAAGCTCGCCCCGTTACGCGACCGCGCGGCGGACCTCGAGACGCTCGTCGTCCGGCAGTCGAACATCGTCGCCCGAATCGACGGCGTCGTCGCGGCAAGCGAGCTGGCGGCGATCAAGACGATCACCAAGCAGCTCGAGAAGTGCTTGGCGACATCTCAGCATACTTCGAAAGAAAGTCCGGAATCGCTGACACGGATTGAGACGCCAAGCCCGCTGCCGGGGCCATCCCCGACCGCGACGACGACCGCAAAGCCGCCGCCTAGCGACCGGTCGCTCGAAGACGTGATGGCGGAGATCGATTCCCTGGTGGGGTTGCGTTCGGCGAAGCACGAGCTGCGATCGCTGGCGAACTACATCGCCTTGCAGCAGCGCCGCTCGGCGGCGGGACTTCCCGCGACCGAGATCAGCCTACACCTGGTGTTCACCGGCAATCCCGGCACCGGAAAGACGACGGTCGCCCGGCTCTTCGGCGAGGCGATGCGGGCGATGGGCGTCTTGCCGGCGGGGCAGCTGATTGAAACCGACCGCTCGGGTCTCGTCGCCGAGTTCGCCGGGCAAACGGGCCCAAAGACCAACCGCAAGATCGACGAAGCCCTCGGCGGCGTCTTGTTCATCGACGAAGCCTACAGCCTCGCCGACGCCGATTCGCCCGACGCCTACGGCCGCGAGGCGCTGCAGACGCTGCTCAAGCGGGCTGAGGACGACCGCGCGCAGCTTTCGGTCGTCCTCGCCGGTTACCCCGACGAGATGACGCGGCTGCTAGAGACCAACCCGGGGCTGGCGTCGCGGTTCTCACGCACGCTGCACTTCGACGACTACGACCCGGTCGAGCTGTGCCAGATCTTCGGCCGGCTGATGGATGTGCACCACTACCGCCTGACGCGCGACGCCCGCCGCCGGGTAGTTGAAGCGGTCCACGGGATGCACTGCCAGCGCGACCGCCAGTTCGGCAACGGCCGAGCCGTTCGGAACCTCTTCGAGAAAGCGATCCTAAGGATGGCGAACCGCTTGGCGACCATCGCCGAGCTATCCGACGAGGGACTCGTCACCTTCGAAGCCGACGACATCCCGTGGGACGCGGGGCTGGGTGAGCCGGTGGCTCAGGCGAGCGTTCGCGTCGCGTGCCCCTCCTGCGGGCTCACCAAGACGGCGGACGCCGGCGTCCTCGGCGCCGCGGTAAAGTGCCCGCAATGCGGCTGCCGCTTCGAGGTCGAGTGGTGCGGACTCGCTGACGATTAGAAGCTGACGACTAGAAGAAGCCTGAGCCGCGGGCGCGAGCCCTCGGTGTGAACCCTTGTACCAGGCGCAC